AGGGTTCGAGGGTTGCTGGAATTTGAGCTGAGCGTAGAGCACGGAGAATGGTGCCATTAACTGCACTGTGTCGAGAATGTCTACCTTTAGAGAATCGACAATGAAGAGGATGGTGTCCAAAACAATCAACGGGTTGGGAACATAATGTACATGTGGAGTTGGCCAGTATATTACAACCAAGACGGAGACCTATTGCTATGCGTAATTCTTCGTTTGTTAAGAGGAGTCCTAAATAATTTATATTCTAGGCTTAAAAAACAACAAGGGTTGACAGAGTTAAAAATTGCTCAATATAATTCTGGTAAAACACCCTCTACCCCTTGAAAAAAATATCGAAATCTACATGCGAGAATAGTAAAAATTGTTTCTGACTTCGAAAATAGATCAAGATTAGATTATCTTAAAGTAATCGCTATTAATATAACATTGAATGTTTTATTTTTTAAAATACTTATCTACAATAATAAAAATTTTGTTTGTTTCTATATAATAGTTTCAAATTTTTTATATTTGCATTATTTTTTGTGACAAAAATATAGGAAGGTCAACTTTGGTATAAAATTTAGCCAGCTACACACAGATTCCTTCATCAAGATACAGATTTTATGAGAGTATTTTACAAATTCTTTTATATGTGATGCAGTCTTTCTTTACCACATCAGCACGATTAATATTTCAAAAATAATTACCTTTCGTCATGCATTATAAAATTATTTTAAAATTCATATTCCTAGTTTCCCTTACAAATATGATCATTTTTGAAAAAATATTATTATAAAATAATACTCAAATATTACACTAAAGGGCAAAGTTTAAAATGAGGATTACATTTTCCTTTTATTCATTATAGCATGTAAATTTTTTTATGTTGGGGTGTTTTTGTCCGATGATTTTTTTCCATGGTTATTTTTAAACCAGTCTTTGTCCAAATCAGTGATTCTTTTAAAATTTTACACTTCAGTTATATATATATTTAACAAACAAACTATCGGTTTAGACGATATGATCATATGGCAATGCTCTACTTTTACCTTCACATATTCAATAAATAAAAAAATCATTTTTTAAAAAACTTTTTATAATGAAATTGATTTTGTAAGGATATTTATTCCATATGTAAATTAGATATAAAAAAATATGACCTAAAGGGATCTATCAAAATAAGATAATACTTGCTATACCATTTCCTATTTTAACTTAAGAAAAGGACTGCGGAGAATAAAATCAGGGGCTTGTATGCATATCTATAAATGATATCGATCCTCTCAAAACATTTAACCTCCTACCTAATATAAATAATTTAAAAAAAGAAAATACCATTCATCCCATTCCAATTTTATTCAAATAATGATAATTATTTCATAACTAACTACCCCCCTCCCCTCTAATTCCAATGATGCTCCTCCAATGAGTTCGCAGTTCAAGATACGATATTGACCTTGCTATAAAAATTAGAGAAAAAATTGGTTGAATTAATTTTGTTATATTATAGCTCTAAAATTCCTTAAGGTTATTAAATTATTTAAATATTGGCATTTGGTTAACTTTGATTTGATAACAATGTAAATGAGCTTGAGTGGCTTCATGTCATGTCATGAATAAGAAAAATAAAACTTAAAATTAAAATACATCATTTTTTTTTGGTTATATTTTTTAAAAATTTTTTTATATCCATTCATTTATTCATTTTATTTAAAGTTTATGTTTATGTATAAGAAAGCACATAATTTATTACTAAAAATAACACGAAATGAAAATAATGGAAAACAAAAAAAAAAAAATTTTTTAACTTTGAAATAAGTATTTTTTTACAAAAGTATTATTTAAATAAAAATGTAAATATAAGCCTAAAAAATATGTAAAGATTTATTTTTAATTCTACATTCCAATGCTGGCTTAGAGATAAGTTTAATTAATATGATTAGGCGAAAAAATCTTTTTTCGTTCCGTCTCATTTGATTTATTAGAGGCCGAATTGATGGTAAAGCAGAATTTTGACATGAATTGCGAAGAGTTAAAATTTATTTTCATATATAATAAACTTTTAAATAAAATAAATTCCTTCCGATAAATATGTAGATTTGGATCTAAATTTTTATATATTTTGATTTTATAAATATGGAAAATATTCAAATTCAATTTTAAATTTGTAAATTAATAATTTGAAAAAAAATTATTCACCAATATTAATATATAAAAGGATTTCAGTTGTCGCGCTTTCCCACTTTTTATCCTTTAGTCATTAAAAATACCACCTCACTCTTAGAATATGAGAGGTATGGCCGGGCCTAAAAATTTTTGCAATTTACAAAATGAGAAAATTAAATAAGACACTTATTTATTCTAGAATTAAAATATAGCCACTTTTTATATTTATTTTTTATTATCCTTCATTTATAAACTCTTCTCAAAATTTACAAAATGTTTTTAACAAACAGCCCTCCCCCCACCCACCATTGTCGTGGTAAAATATGTAAAAGTAAATAAATAAACACTTAACCCATTTTGCCCTGGTTTCCCGATATTGGAATATCTTAATTTTCTTGATTTGGAACAATTTCTATTTATTTTCAAAAAATCCTGATTTTATTTAATTCCATTTTATTAGAAAAAATGAGTAAAAGTGCTTACAAATTGAGTAGAAGCGTTTAGCGGTGTTTTCATAAAAACGCTGTGATTTAAACTGGTATTATTTTAAAAAAATGATGAAAACTATTTTACGTTTTTTAATTTTTTTCTATATTGTTTGACTTGTGAATGAGCAAAAATAAAAAACTAAAATAACTGAAGATCTAATGATTTATTTCCATAATTTATTCTTCATAAATATTACAAATCCAATATAATATTTTGATTTATTTTTTTGATTAATCATAACTTTGCAGTTATTTCTATATTAAAATGCGAATAGAAGAAAAAGGAAAGGTCTTAATATCAAATGAATTAGTTACTATTATATCAGAAAGTTATATCGATGTGCATTATCTCAAAATTGTAATTAGGAGGCATTAATTATCAGTAAAATCTTCTATAATTAAAATAATCTGAGAAAATCAATAAAAAATTCTTAGCTTTCAGTATATTTTTTTTATCTGGATTAGTAAAAAAGTATTACATTAAATGACATAAAGCACACTTTTAAATTTTATGTTGGGGGGGGAGGGTTAACTTATTCTGGTAAAAACTTCAAAATGTCCCCTCCATACTTACAACCATGAGTGAGACCAGAAAGACTAATATAATTTCTATCACATCAGATAGAGGTGACATGCTTATTAAATAAACAATACGTAATAAAATATTCTTAAAACATTCGCGTTTATGATTTAAGAAACTTCGGTTGGTAAATTGATATTGAATATATCAATTTCACTTAAAATGAATTCACAATTTTCGCGGTCATGCGCTCGCTATCACAATTTCGCGCAAATATATTCGCGGTAGAAAATTCGCTATAAATAGTTCGCGATTAAAGTTTCGCTATAACGAGTTCGCGATCAAAGTTTCGCTAAAATGTATTCGCGGAAATAAATTCGCGATAATGAGTTCGCGATCAAAGTTTCGCCAAAATGTATTCGCTAAAAAATATTCGCGTTAAAGTTTCGCGGAAATAAATTCGCTATAACGAGTTCGCGATCGAAGTTTTGCTAAAATGTATTTGCTATAAAGTATTCGCGGTTAAGGTCTCGCGGAAATAAATTCGCTATAACGAGTTCGCGATCAAAGTTTCGCTAAAATGTATTCGCTATAGTATTCACGGTTAAGGTTTCGCGAAAATAATTTCGCGATAATAAATTCGAGCTATTGTCTCGCTATAAAAGTTTAGCGGAAAAAAATTCGCGGAATTGGTTCCGCTTTATTACCTTCGCTTATTTTTTACGTAATTTTTTTTAAGAATTAATTGTATATTAATTTCAAAATCCAAATTTTCGATTAATCAATATTTGATTTCTTGTTTTTAATTTGTTATGTTTTGATAATAAAAAATCGGGATATTAACTTCCATATCATTATTAGCTAATTTGGAATTTGCATAAATTTTAAAATTATAAAAACAAACATTAAACTTGTTAAATCTTAGTTTTTCCGCTTTATTGGATAAATGAATAAAAATAGTAATTTCATTATTTATTATAATACCATTGTTACTTTGAAATATTTTGTTAATCTAAAATTCTTTTAAAATATTATCCCAAAATGCATGCGATATGTAAGGAACTTAACTTAATGCAATAATACTAAAAAATAATTCGCTACTGTATAAGTCCGACAATTTTGACAACACTCAACTAAAAATGCCCTGCTGATCTTGCAGATTTGAAAAGAATCATGTATTGTGCTATTAAACAAAAATGTATTTTTATTATTAACTTTATTATCTCTCTCTTTTTCATTTAACACTTCGTTTATATATATATTTTACAAATCCAAATTAGAATACAATATTAAAAAAACGAAAAACAAAAAGTAAAATATTACAAAATATAAAAAGTAAGGTTACGCAATATAAAAAATAAAGTTATAAAATTAGATTATAAAAAGTAATAATAAGATTAAAAAAATTAGAATATAACAACGCAACAAGATTAAATTTTAAGTAAATAGAAGTAGAAATACAAATCAAATCACATTATTTAAAAGATAGATCATCCATCTTTATTAAAAATTTATTCCATTTTACCAAAGAAATTATTTTAAAACTAATTATTAAGTTTGCATTACTTTTTATATTTAGAAATTATCCCATAACCAATGACAATGATATATAATAATACTAGACTGACTATTCATTCATAAAATGCAGTTTTAAGCTTAGCCAATGATATATCTTTCGGACATTATATGTTTTCTATAATCAGCCTATCGTAAAAGCATTTTTTTAAAATAGCATGTCTAATCATCAATTTTACCCTAAAGATATAGATATTCAATATCTGCCAAATAGCATTGATACATTTTATTTACATATACTTTTGATAATCTTCTTTAGTTTCTTATTTATGTATATATGGCGATATTTAGATGATAAATCTATAATTAAGCGTTTGTATGTTTTCTGGTTTTCTTTATGTGGCTGTATACATTGTTTTTTGGAAGGATATTTTTCTTTAAATCACAAAACTATATCAGCAGATAATACCTTACTTGCTCAAATTTGTAATTTATATTTACTAATATATTTATAAGCCTATATTTAGGGAAAGAATATGCATTGTCAGATAGTAGATACATGATGTAAAAATATATAAAATTATATTATAATTTCTTATAGATCAGATCCTTTTACACTATCAATGGAAACAGTGACTGCATTTTTTGTTGGTCCATTGTGTTTTTTGGCATCATACTGGCACATAAAGGATGATAATCGTGTTTATATTTTACAATTAATCATATCTGTATCTCAAATTTATGGTGATGTACTCTATATTTCAACCAACTGGTTGGAGAATTTCAAATTTACCAATCCCACAGATCCTTTCTTTTTTTGGTTTTATTTTATTTTTATGAATATCATATGGATTATAGTGCCATCATTTATCATATACGATTCATATGTCAACCTGATAAAATCTCTTAAACAACATGATGAGATTATAGAGGATAAGAAAAACTCTTGATTTTTAAGTTAGAAAAAAATATTTACTTCATTTATAAAAATTTTAAATAATAAACATGTTTTTTATACAAGATTCAAAATAAAAATTATCGGATTTTTATTTAAATGTTTGTACATACTGATTCTGTATATATTACTTTAACAAAAAAATTATCAACTATGTTACTGCTAGAAAAAAGGTAAGGTAACTTGCCTAACATTTTATAATATTTTTTATTCTTCTTTAGCTGTATTTGTTATTGGTCTAATTGGAGATACTCAATTATATTATAGAGTAGCTCTGGTTTAGATAATATTATAAACCTTTATTATCACCTGGCCAAATGAAGTGAAACAGTATTTGATATATTTCTTAAGGAAAGATATATTTAAAAATAAAATTTATGAAGGAGATAATTGCCAGGACTCATTCATAGGATAAGAAAAAACTATTATTATGCATTACTCAAATGATGAACCATCACAGGATTAATTTTAAGAGAAAAAAAACAATTGTTCAACTCTAAAATCACTCATTAATCCTAATTATCCCTTCTTGCATAGGTGAAAAAATAATGGGAGAGACTATGTGGGATGGGGTACCTTCAGACCCTAATTTAGAAACACTATTAAAATCTAATTAATTTGTAACTTTCATATTTTAAAAATATATTAAATAAACTGTATATTAATGATATTAACTATTGTTTTAATAATTTAATGTAATTTTAACATAATATAGCTGTTGTCAAGGGAGTCAAAAATGTGACAAATTATTTTAAAATGTCACAATGAATAATATTTATATAATATAACTTAATTAAAAAAATGATATATTAAAAGTGTTTATTTATTCCTAATATATCGATGCCATAAGAGGTAAAAATTAGTTACACGGTTTACCAGGTGGAGTCAACGTCAAGCTAAAACCATCATTATAATTCTTGATATACTTAAAAAAATCAAAATTTATTTTTCCCGTAAACTTTATCTAAAAATGTTGAGCTACTAATAGATTGAGGCAAGAAATTTAATTTTATAACGTTTTTAAAATTACTGGGATCTGCATATCCCACCTTTGTAACGAAAAGTAAAAATCGCATATTAATTTATAATTCCACATGGAAAAACGACAAAACTAATTAATATATAACTTATTCATCATTTGCATTCAAATTTATTTTTGTTCCTATATTCATTTCATGCTTTCATTAAATTATATTCATTTAATTACGCTATTCACATTAGAGGTCTGCAATAGGGGGGTTATAGCCAGCAAGCCCGCTCACTCGTTTAAAACATTTTAACCTAACCCCACGTTCATACATATTTTTGTAAATCAAAGTATTTTCTGTACATTTCATATTTAAAATCCGCCTACCACCCGTCCATTAGTTTTAAATATTTCCAACCCTCCCAATTCTAAGAAACTCCCTCACCTCCGATCGAAATATATTAGCGAATCCCACCCATTGCAGACTTCTAATATCGCCATTTCCTTTTCTGTTTATCTCGAAGAAAGAATTGATATTTTACTTGATAATTTGTATTAAGGTTTTTTTTATGTTTTTAATAGTAAAATGATAGGTGTTAAAATAGTCCCATAACAGATTTTTTTTTATATGTTCGATTTATATTTCAGCAAATCCATTTGTTTTTATTATAATTTAAGAATTTTACAACGAATAATCAGGAACCTGAAGTGACGCAAAATCATAACAAGCCTTTATAAATTTCTAACGAGCCGATTTAATTATTTTTTGATGGAGTAAATATGACCTTTATAAAAAAATTAAACCAATTTCGATCTATAATTTTACATTTTATTGCACCCTTTTCCTTGGCGTATTACATATTTTATCACATATGCGTCGTTATTTATAATTATTAAATAATAATATTTGTTAATATCCATAGTATCATTAATTTTTTCACTAAGAACAATATAATTTTGCACGATTCTACTAAAATCCCACAAATCGTTTGAAGAAACCCAAACGAATTACCAGTCTCTATGTGACTTAATCAGAGTTCAGTATTATATACCAGTTGATGCCATTCCTATTAAATAATCAGCATCAGGTGAACTAAGAGGTAAATCAAAGGTCCCCTATCCCATCAAATCGCTGTTCTAGTAAATATCTTTTTAAGAAATTACCCCCCCCCCCCTCCCAATGTATACATCACAATAAACAACAACTTAAAATAATAAGTAAAAGTAAATTAATAACGACATACGAATTCTTTAGAAAGTGTATTTTTTTAAAAAAAAGGAAACCTAAATAATTTTGAAAGTATGGCATAGACATAAGTGGACCTAAACTAAAATCCTGAATACGCCTATGATGATCATCTATACATTTTTATAAATATTTAAAAAATTAGAATTAGATTATGATATCCAAAAAACTATATAATTGTGCATACATCCATGATTGTAGTTTAACCATATGCTAGTCGATTAATGTTTAGCACTAATTTAAGATACATATGCTTCATATAATCATTCAACTTTTTTCTATTCACGATGTGGTTCACGAACTAATTTTCAAACTATTTTAGTTTTCAAAATATCTAAATAATGGCCGATATCGAGCTCGATATCGATAAATTAATATCATCCTTACTTGAGGGTATGTAAAATCTATATAATATATTTACTTTTGAATATGTCTTAGTTCGAGGATGCCGTCCTGGGAAATCTGCCCAGATGACTGAAGGCGAAATTCAAGCTTTATGCTTAAAATCTAGGGAAATATTTCTTAATCAACCAATTTTATTAGAACTTGAAGCACCTCTTAAAATTTGTGGTTTTATAAATATCAATTAACCATTTAATCCTAATATTTTTAAGGAGATGTACATGGACAATATACAGATTTATTAAGATTATTTGAATATGGAGGGTTTCCACCTGAAGCTAATTATCTATTTTTGGGTGATTATGTTGATAGAGGAAAACAATCTTTGGAAACTATTTGTCTACTTTTGGCATATAAAATTAAATATCCAGAGAACTTTTTCCTTCTAAGAGGAAATCATGAATGTGCTAGTATAAACAGAATATATGGTTTTTATGATGAATGTAAGTTTATATTTTATTAGCACTAGACTGTGTATATTATGTATAATAGGTAAAAGACGATATAATATTAAGTTATGGAAAACATTTACTGATTGTTTTAATTGTCTTCCTGTAGCTGCGATAATTGATGAAAAGATATTTTGCTGCCATGGAGGTATTTTACAATCATAACTGCCTCTAATTTTATTGTTTATCCTTTTTTTTGTAAATCACAATCTATATTACAATGATCTTTTATCGTCAGTTAACTACTACATTTATTTAATATTTAACTAAGTATATGGAGTTTGTACCATGTCCATTTATTTTTGTTAAACTAATATTTTCATTTGCATTAAACTATAAGATTTTAATTTATAAAGATTATTCAGTTATAAGTTAGTTGGCAGTTCAGTTGTTTTTTTTTGTCAAAAATTAGAACTCATCATTTTTTTAAATATCAGCCAAAAAAAATTAAAATGTGATGGTATCTTTTTTGACAATTATCATTTAGCAATCATAAATAAAACATAAAATATATCCAAATAATAATTTATATTGTTAATACCTTTTTTTTAAAAAAATTTATATTTAGGACTATCCCCTGATTTACACACAATGGAACAAATCAGAAGGATTTTAAGGCCTACAGATGTTCCAGATACTGGTAAAATCACCCAATTATTTGACACACTTATCCTTAACTTAAAGATAAGTAATGCACTACTAGTGTTGTTAAATGGCCAGATTTTGGCCAAAATGATATTATATAACTCTCGAGACTTGGCATGATTCACCATCTATGATAAAAATCTCCAGGTTTATATAATACTTTTATAGTTAAAATCTTAATCAGACTGCTTTTAAAAATCTACTTAAAATCTGTTTAACAACACTATGCATTACCTACCTTTTGATTTCCATGAAAAGGGTAGGATCACCTTATTTGGTCCTATTTTTTGGTACTAAGTTAAAATACATTTAATAAGTTGATTGTTGGTGGAGTAATATTTCATTTTTTATGCAAAATACATTTATTTTGATGTAAAACTCTTACCCTATTAATTTGGTAAACCAGAACCCAACATTGACAAGATATCAAAGAATTTTTTTAAAAAATTCATGAAAAAATGAATAAAAAGATGTATATTTTTTTTCATTGGAATTATTTTCCATTTTTTTTTGCATTTCAAAATGTTCAGTTTTTGCCATCCATTTTGTAGGTAAAATTTTATTATAATGGCAATTTAATATGCTAATAATCAGAGTTGTTAAAAGATACTTTTTAAATGGATCTAGATACAAATACATTGTCTAAAATAATATCTAGATACAGATATTTTAATCAAAAATCTATCTAGATACAGATACCACATTTTTATATCTAGATGTATCTAGATCCTTTAACAACTCTGCTAATAATATAATAGGACATTGCTTATCTTGCATTTTTTATATCAGTTTTTAGAAAAGTAAAATAAAACCCAATATTACTTGATATTCAATTTTTAACAAGCTTTATGTGAATACAAATGTAATGTTTGTCGATGATTTTAGCACTTTTAATTTTGTTTGGGTGAGTACTTTTTTGGAGGATTTAAATAATATAAAAATGATTTTTGATTATTTTTTTTGCTAGTAAATTATGTTTTATGTGGAGTAGAATATAAGAAAAAATTATCCTATTCTATTAGCCCTTCATTGCATTTGCACAGGTGAAAAAAAAGTTCCTCGAGTGAATAGATAAGGTACCCCAGGGATGCGAATCCGGCAATTTTTGTCCAGGTTCAGTTTAAAGTGAGAAAAGTTAGGTCGGTTCCGGTTTGGTTCGGGTTCCAATTTTTTCAAACCCGGGTTCTCTTCTCCCGGTTCAGCTCGAATCTCAGGGGTACCCTCAGACCCCAATTTGGAAACACTATAAATTAAAATCAAATTAATTTGTAGCTTTCATAATTTAAAAATTGATTAAATAGACTATAAGTTAGAGTTTTTACTGTTTATTTTAATAATTATGTTATTTTATCATTATATGACAGTTTTGGTCAAGGGATTCAAAAAAAAGTGACAAATTATTTTAAAAATTCCACAATTGCGATATAAAAAAATATATATATAGGGATAAAATTATAGGAATGTGTCTCCAAAGTTCACATATTAATATAATATAACTTCTTTTAATTAATAAAAATGATAAAAATATTTATTTATGCTCAAAACAGATGAAAAGAAAAGATTACACTGATGAACATGTGGAGTCTATGTGAACTCGAGCAAAATCAAAATTAATTTTTCACACATATACTCTACTAAAAATGTTCAGCTGCTAAAAGATTCGCGCCAAAAATAATTGAAAGAATTTTAATTAATAACGTTTGTCACAATCGGGAGTTTTTGGATTGTGAACTTAAGAACCTAAATATAAAATAAAAATATATACTACATAAATAACTATAATCAATTACAAAAGTGAAAAACATAATCAAAATTAATATATAAAAATAAAAGTAAAAATCAAAAAAAAATTATATGTATAAAAGTAAAAAAAATTAAAAAGTCTTCCAAAGCGAAAAATAAAAAGTTTGTCATCCCACTTGTTAAAACTCTTAAAGTATGAAAAAATCTACAATTATCACGCGTTTTCAACTCATTTACATAGACGGTGATCTAAATAACTAATTGTGATGGCAGGGTTAGATCGAAATGGTATATTTTTACTAGGATACTGAGTAATTTCTAGATGAAAAGTAAACTTAATAATTTTAATAAAACATTATTTACTCCGACAATCGAAGATCCGCTAATATTTATGAACAATAAATTTTGACAAATTATTTACTTCCGAGTGTCCCCGCAGTTAAGACACTTATTCAATTTTTTTTAGTTATTAGGAATATCTTTTATCGATATATTATCCAATCCGGCATTCCTATTTATTTAATTTGAATCTTAGGCAGGATTCCTTGTTATTTGCTTATCGCCAAATTCGCGCAATCTAGGCTTTTAGACCAATCTTATACTTTAATAATTTTAAATTAAAATTTATTCGAGGTCATTTCTACCCCTGTTTTTTTGAAAACAATCCGTTTAGAACGGGGCTGCATGATACTACTTTCTAGAAAGAAAAAAAATCATAAATATTGATCTTTGCGTAAATATAAAATTTGTCTGGATTGTTTTTTTGTAATAAAATAAACTCGGACATTATATTATGAAATGAATTTAATTTCAAATATTATTTTTAATATTAAAAAAAAATGGTAAAATATAATTGTAGCAAAATTTACATGAAAATAGATACAGAACAGATGCCTCTAAAATAATATTTAGATACGGCTACCGCTACTTTATAAAAAAAGTATATTTACATAACAGATACCACATTTTTTTTTATATCCAGATACTTTAACAACTCTCATGATGACGAAAAAAGGTGAAAAATAATGTTAAAACTTTTGGCGAGGGTGCTCATCTCCTCCATTTTAAAAATGGGGCTAAATATAAAAAAAATAATTAGCTGGAGGGGACGGGGTATGTTAGCCCACCTCGCAATCGTCGATTACATGCTCAAACCAGCACATTATAAATAGGAAATATGACATATATATACGATGATCAAATTTATTTTTTGAAAAGGATTACTATGCGATTTGATGTGGTCAGACCCAGATAAAGATGTTCAGGGTTGGGGTGAGAACGACCGGGGTGTTTCGTTCACCTTTGGCCCCGATATAGTTAGCAAATTTCTCAATCGACACGATTTGGACCTCATTTGCCGTGCCCATCAAGTTTAGCGGATAAACATTATAAAAAATTATTTTAATTCTAGAATGTTCGATTATTATTATAATATGCAATACATAATTCCCTTAACTGAAAAATTATTGTACCTGGTGGATAGGTGGGTCTGTAGGGAGTTTTTTCTATAATATAAGAAATTAATTGGACCATTTTTATCCTTAATTAAATTTCTATTAATTCGTTAAAAGATCCATATTTTTCTTATTCGCAGCGTATAAATCAAGGGGGGGGGGGTTAAAAATATGAGTCGTCAGTGTCTTCGTGACATGACACGTGTAACTATTCATAAATTCTTCAATTCGTAGGTGGTCGAAGACGGTTACGAATTTTTCGCTAAACGCCAATTGGTTACCCTCTTTTCCGCTCCCAACTACTGCGGCGAATTTGACAACGCTGGCGCTATGATGAGCGTCGACGAATCTCTGCTTTGTTCCTTCCAAGTTCAATAATTAATAATAAAATTTCCCTCTTCTCGTACCTTTTACCACTCTCCTTATTTCCCCCGCTCTCTTCTTTATTTACCTTTTTTTTGCATTTCTAATCAAATTTTGAAAGTTTGGACCAAATATCAGCTGTTCAATATAATTCGTAATTTTGTCAGCCAATAAGATTAAACAAATGAATTCTTGGATTCGATCCTGTTCCGAGTGTTTTGGTTTCTCTTTTCCAATTTTTTTATAATTCCAATAATCAATTTAATTCTTCTAATCTCCGCATTTTTACAGATACTGACCAGTGCTATATAAGTAACTTTTTTTTTAGAAATATTAGTTACTTTTGAAATCACTCTTTCAAAAGTAAATTTTGAGACAAGCCTATTCCACACATTTCTTCATTTTATGTTCTACTAAACCTTCCTTTAACCCTTTTCCCAAAACAAATAAACATTGAATTTTATTCCCTTTTGTTATATGACAAAGATTTTAAAACCTTCCGAGAAGAAAACAAAATATCAATACAGTGGAATGATCAGTTACTCTTCGTCCTCTGCCGCGACTAACACCCAAATAACGAATAACTCATAAGAGTTAACATCGCCAAATCGTTTTAAAAATCAAGTAAAAAGTACTTACGATTTAATATAAAAAAATAATGCCTATATTTTTTTTTGTAGGCTGTTCCCAATCGGTTTTCTAAATCCCTTTTTTTATTTATGTAAAGCGATAACGTAATTAGATTTAGCTGTCATCTATTTGTTATCTTATTTCAAATTATGACATTTCGATGTTATACCCCAATTCTAAAACAGTAGTGACCATCGTTACAAAATGGTGTCCAGAAACAACTCATCCCCATCTCATAGATTGTTTACCTTATAAAGCCTTTTTTTTTGTTTAATATGAGATATTGGATTCAATTACATAATCTAGGCCGGCGCCTTATTTATTAAATTACATTTTGAAGTGTCGATAATTGGTTTTACGGGAAACCATAATGACGTGCCACCAGCTGATTGTGACATTTATTTGGCAAAATCGGTGTCTATCCATTTGAAATCTTTGGCTGTTCCTATAACGTTGAATCATAATTTAACCTAAAAATGAATTCCGTATATTCCAACACGTGCACAGTACCTAAACCTTTCCCAATGACATACCAAAGTAATCTTGACTAACGTATTTGTTTCCCTGAGAAATCATGATGGCGTCTCACAATCTTATTTATATTATTCAACGACACGCTTCAAAATGTCATTTGACGAATAAATTGTCAGTCTAGATTAATATTATATGCCATTGACCTATACCCTAATGATTTCCGTTCGTTAATTTTTTTGATTCTTTAATTTATATCGGGGAAAAATATACACATATATATATATATACTTTTAATTACAAAAGCAAAATTATTTAAAATTCGTAGTGTTTGTGCGTGGGGGAGGGGGGGGGGTGTACTCTATTAATGCCTGAATGCGTTTGCGATCAAGGTTTTTTGAATTATTGGTAAAAGATTTCAAATCCCCATAGGAATGATTCCTATCAGAGATCTGCAAAGTTAGACCCGAACAGGCTTCGGGCCTGGTTTGGGCCTAATATTTTAAAAAAAATTCGGCTGCATTGAAATTTTTTTTTAAACATATCTAATTTTATATAGGAATTTTTTATGTAAAATAAAAATATTTGATTTTTTTTTATTGAAACTAAACGACATATAACACATGTCTTTTATTTTGAGTAATTATAAAAAAATTGATTTCTATATTTAAATAAATTTGGGCCGGGCCGGGTCGGTTAATTTTTTAAAAAAAAATTCGGGTTCGGGCCGGACCGGTAAGTGTTATTAAACTGCTCGATTTGAGCCGAATTTTTTAAAAGGGATAACTCAATATTTTATCTATGAAAATATTACGCAAGCCCTGTAGATTTTGGCCATGGGTGGCATAAAGGGTTGGACATTATATTGGCTAAATCCGAGGTTTTGGCGACATTTATTCTGGCTAAAATATTGAATTAGTCGCTTTTAGAAATCGCCTCAAATTCGAGCGGTTTAACAACGCTAATCTCAATACATACGTAAAGTCGTTTTTAAGTCGCATAGTAAATCCGACTTTTAGAAATCGCCTCAAATTCGAGCGGTTTAACAACACTAATTTCAATACATACGTAAAGTCATTTTTAAGTCGCATAGTAAATCCGCCTTTTAAACGGGTGGGTGGCTTTTTCGAAAAACGTATCGCCCTTTTCTCATCTAACAAGAAGTGGTAAAGGACATTTATTTGAAAAACAAAACACACACACTATTTAACTAAAATAAAGTTATATAATTTATACATTAATAAAAAAAGATTTTTATTTTATTTAAAAAAAAAAAATATTCTAAGGGTGCTTTAATCAATTTGGCTCTTCACTTTGACACATCTCAATCAACGCCAAAATAAATAAAAAATAATTAAACGTTCATTTGCTCACCCACGATCAAATAATTTTTTGGAGAATTGACATTATTATTTTTTTATAATATATATATATATTTAAAAAAAGAAAATGGATTAGCCCATATGACGATACAATTTGGTAGATAAGATACAAATTAATTGTATCGCACGTATCTTCTCTTCTTTTTTCTCTGTCTTATTCCTCAATTCACAATAATAAAGGCAAATCGTAAAAGTTAAATACTGTTTAATGTTTTAATAACCTATACTTTGATTATAAAATTTTACGGTTTCCACTCCTTTATATAATACCTTTTTCAGAGAAAAGACATAATAATCCTACCTATAATAGATTATAGTTATTATAGGAATATCCACAATTTCATTTACAAATTTTATGATTTTTAAATTTGATATCTGGAATTTTGTTGCCTTCAATGGATTGCTTGCTTTAATATTTCAAAATTAGTTAAAGAATAATATTTATTTTTTATATATCAAAATTCGCTATAAATAATTACATCCCTTAAATTTGTTCAAAATTAATGAGTAAATAAGGATTTTTTTTGTATTATAATTTTATACATATTTTTTTTTAAAATTAGTGTTGTATTTTTATATATATAATTGTGTACAGATTATTATCTTGGCAAAAAGAAATTTAATAATTACAATTGCAAATTTATATATATATATATATTTAAACTAAACTATTTATTTATTAAATTATATTATCGGATATAAATTTTATATTTTTTATGCAATTGTATCGATTAATAATTACTCGGTTTTTTTTAAAACGTTTATTTGATTAGTACAATATAACCGAAACGAATCTTAAGTTGATTATCAAATCATGTAAACCGGTTAAGAAAACGTTGCCAGAGATTAGGACCTCTTTATAGCGACTTATTAAGAGAGGGCTTAACTGGCGCCCTAGGAGTGGAATAGTATCTCACCCGCGAACTTCAAATATGTCCAAAATCTACAGTAAGCGAGGAAAATAACTCCTCGGGGAAAAAAATCCCCAATAATAATTAGAAAATTATCGCCCGGAATTTATTTTTTCTTAAAAAATTATTTAAACATTTTATTTGAGCAATTTTATGTCGTGGATATATTTATAGGGAATTTATTTCTCCTATTTTATAAAATTTTGTAATTTTTTAATATCTTATCAAACAGGGATTTTTTTCCGGGGAATTATTTTCCTAGATTCTTTGAAACTTTTTAAAATTTTCAAGATGTATGTTTTGCTGCATTTTTTTTTAATATTTCGCTTTATAAAAAGTTTATTTATCTATATTTTTGATTTAGTTTTCAAGATGTTAATATTTTTTTTTAAAATAAATCTTGGATATATAGCCAGTGTGTAGGGGAGAAGTTCCTTATACAGCCATAGGCGTAGACTAACTACCACCCTTTAAAAATGTAATTTGAACAGATTTCTCTTAAAACCGGTCAAAATATGTATATTTATGACACGTATACCACCTTGTCTGATTTAATTTATTCAATTGAGGCAATTCACTAAAAAATTATTTTTTAGTCTTTCTAAAAAAATAACTAACTTTTTTTTTCCTCGAGGAAATTATTGGTAAATCTATATAATATTATCTTCAGGGCCTTTTACATTATTCGCGTAAATAATTCGAACTTACAAATATTATTTAGTAAGGCATTTATATTAAGGTTAGTGTAATCAAGCCAGAATTTGATTTGAAAAGATAATGGGAGAAGAGAAAAGATTCCTTCCTTCCTTCCTTTCTTTCTTTCTTTCTTTCTTTCTTTCTTTCTTTCTTTCTTTCTTTCTTTCTTTCTTTCTTTCTTTCTTTCTTTCTTTCTTTCTAGCTTTCTTTCTTTCTTTCTTCCTTCCCTCTTCCTTTTTTTCCTGAAAGAAAGAAAGAGGACAATCAGGTTAGTCCCTTTGAAAATGTCCCTTGCATAATTTCTATTACATAAAAATTTATTCGTTCTTAAGCTAATTGATATAAAGAATATTTACTTATTTTTTTGTTGCTTCATTTACAAACAGATGTTGTAAAATGAGCCAATCCCCTTCCGCGAGTCAAAAATAATAATTTATTAGGAATTTTAGCCGTATTCTCTGAATATTATATAAAATAAAGATGTGTCCGTAAAAGGGTTAGATTTTTATAAGCATTCAAAATGTCTAAGTCGATCCATGTTTCTGTGTAAAGTTAGAGGATCTAGGGGAAGAATAATCTAGAGCTGTCATCGGGCCCGGTATTGTAATTCCAGCCCAAAAAATTATTTTCAGATCCAAGTTTAGCCAATGAGCAAAAAAATATTCCCAACCTAGTCCAATCAGTTTGAAAATATTTTCGGCGGCACCCATGAACTGATAAATTATAAAATAATTCTCCTTCATAATAAAATCATCAGGTGCAAAATGACTAAATTTTAAACAATTTATTCTTATATTGGTATTGTCAGATAGAGAACTACACGGGCTGTCCGTAGCAGCCCATATAGGCAGACATCAAAAAAAAATTTCGGGCTCGGGCCGGGTTGTAAAATCTGTTCGATCCGAAAAATAATTATTAGTATAAATATCCTAAATCATTATAATTCATGATGTCAATTATAACAACATATCATTTTTATAAACGCATATATGAAAATATGCTTAAGTTAATTTTTTATAGTCAGCAGATACTTTTGGACTGATGATTATAAGAAAGTATCCTATGTAACTTATTCATTTCTTAAACGATTCTTGGAAATAAAATTGTATTGTTTACATGCAAGTTTGAAGAAGAAAGAAAGAGGGGTGAAAATTATTAAAATAGAAATTTCACCTTTGATTTCATTAAAAATAATTTAAAAATTCAATGTATTTTTTATATTAGGGCACATTTTTCTGAAATGATATTCATTACAGACCAAGGAGCTAATATGATTAAAACATTTGAAAATCATAAAATATTTGTTGCATTAAACTGGGGTAAGTTTGCAATTAAATTGAAGCTTGGTCGTATAGATTGAGAATGATAAAAATAGATCAAAGTTTTATTTATCCAAATATTCAATTTTTATTAAATTATTATTTTTATTTAAGATTCAAATTCAATAATCAATCTTTTATATATAATAACAGTAATATATACTTGGTCAAATAAATTAATCGGTAATATGTTAAATTAGCGCTTCAAAATAGAAAACATTTAAATTGTAAAGTGAAAATATAATATAAAATTAACGTCTTAGACCGTAAAAAAATATAGATTTACATTTCAATAACAATATACAATAATATAACTCTATTGAATTGTGTTACTCATCTTTTGAATACAATATTAAGGAATACCTTTGATAATGAAAATATTGAATTTCAAGGATCAGATATATATTAATGTTTTGTTGATTGTACAAGTTTATTTACTTATATGAAACCGAGTAGGTATGTTAAATCAACTTTTTATTAAAATAAAACATTAAATTTTAGATAAGTGATAAAACACTATTTGTGTATTGAGACTCGATTGAATACCAGGCTAAAGATAATTGAATACTTTTTGACGCTTACAATAAGCTCAAATGCTTCTGCAAAGAACTCCCTTCCATTGGCTGGAGAATAAAGTCATAATTGACCAGAATGATCAGATGGCACTGTAAATTGATTATTACATGAACATTTTTGAATCAAGAAAATCGGCTATTATATATGAAATCTACATCTCAATCCAACTCACTATTTTTAATGACTGAAATTTCGATTGCATTAAGAAAACTCAAAAACCATATTGCTATTGGCCGGCCCTTCTGGTCTACTAGAAGGACCTAAACACTGGAATATATCTCTTCTTCTTTTATGTAACTTCCCTCAAATCACAAACCCTACTAAATTCACTTCAACCACTCCAAAATCTTCATGATGCTCCTAGAGACACGTATTCTACATACGTCACAAAACCTCTTCTCCAAATATATTTGTGCAAATCATCCAGGCAAGAATATCATAGTCCTTTCTAACTCTCAAAATCATTATCCCTAAATTTGATAGGTATAAATTGCCTTTCTTCTTCACGTTTATCGACTTTAAAAGTGCTTTTGACGACGTCATTCATGAATCTCTCTGGAAAATATTATCAAAAGTCAGTATTGAAATACATTGCCAGACCTAGAAGAAACCTACAATCTTATTCATATTCTTAAATATTTAAGTATGAAAGTTGTATGTGTGTAAATTTAAACAAACCTACGATTCTTTTAGTGAAACATACACCTCCTATCAAAACCAATATTGAAAATAAGTCTGAAGTGATCAAGGTAGTTATTAAAAGTATCTCTGGAAAATACTATCAGATATAAGTATTGAAATGCCAATGACATAGTGGTTATTACTAAAGACCTAGATAAAACCTACAATCCTATTCATATTATAAAAATCTTCAAATATGAAAGTTGGGCTGAAATAAATTTCAAGAAAACTACAATTCTTTTAGCGAAACATACACCTCCTATCAGAACCAGTATTGAAATTGATTCTGAAGTGATCAGGGTAGTTACTAAAAGTAAATATCTTGGAATTACCCTAGACAATAGTGGGGGCTGTGTAAGGAAGAGCGTAAGGATATCGCTCACGTCTCTCCACCATCTTGTTTATTATCTCTTTTAAAACCGTGAATTCGATCTACATGCTTCAAACACTACTATTCTTTAAGTGCAGCCAAATGATCATTATTCATTATAATTAGAACTACTTATACTACAAATTGGATTGTTTTTTATAAGTTGCATTCTACTCACACCTCATGTCTCTTTCAGGATTTAATCCATCCTGATCTACCTCACTTGCATTGCTATTCCTTTTTCATATGGTTCAATTTTTGGAACAATATAAAATCATAACATCGGTGCATAGGATTCTATAAATTTAACGCTCGATTCCTTAGGAACCTTATTTCGTCCTATCGTTTTTCCTTGTTTCATATCCGAGATCAACTTCGTATCTAAATATCTTTGATAGTTTTTTTTACCTCCAAATGTATCAATCACCATGTCTAGTAGTATGTTAAATCTCCGAGTATATTAATTACCTTCTTGTATTTATCATCCTGGGATAACAGCCACCTCTGTGCATATAATTGTCATTTAAACTCCCAATCGTTAATAGATCCTACAGCATCTCTCAATCTGTCTATTGCTTTCCTTTTTTATCATTTTAAATTCTCTATTAATATACATGTATATCTTATCTTTTTTCCAGCATTTCAATCTTTATGTTATTACCGGATTGCCAATCATTCATCTCTAGATTTAGGAATTAAAATTGGTTCTCTTAACTCCCTTTTAACTATCAATAACAATACTTATTTATGTTAGAGCTAATTAATTTTATTGTTATTGCTTTTACAATTTTCAGGGGTTTCTTAAATCTTTCATAAACCCATTAAATCAGTTTTTTTTCTCATTAATGACGCAGTATTTATTTTATTTTTTTTATCAAAAACATATTTTTACTTATTCATCTCACAATTACGTATTTAGACAATTAATAAATAGCATAGAAAAAGTGTTTCCATTAAGAACATTTTTCTGTAAAAAAAAATTCTCAATTCCATTAATGCGTTTCAAAGTAATATTTTAATTCCACTAATGCGTGCCAAAGTAATATTTTTTTATACACTATTTTAAATGTAATTGTTACAATACATTAAATGCGTCTTTTTTGCCAGTTATCTTTTTTTTCATGGTTTTTCTATGCTAACTATGTTGAATTAGCACGGGCAA